CAATGACAGACCTGATCCAAAGCGAAGGTGTTAACTGTTGGCCACCCAACCTCCCCTCATTAAGAGAATAGAATCGATGAAACTGGTATGTTAAAGACATACTGATACTTCTGTTTAGTGTTATAAATCCATTTTATATCCTATAAATAGTGAATAAGTAAGTTAGAAAAGTTCTGGTCAATATCGTTTACCACATTAAATGTGTATATATAGTCAGTTGGTCACACAAACAAAATATTCCGGTTCTCAGACAATCCTTACCAAATATCTGATGCAGGAGGGAGGTTTTCATTTTTGTGTTTTTATTTTGTCAAAATGACTTCTATAAACATTACATTTCAAGACATTACATTTATTTCATTATGTTGTCTATAAGAAGGTATGATTATCCAGTATCATTTATAATTGTTAATAACACAGGGTTGTGTACAGTAGAATCTGTATGAGCAGTCACTCCTGTTCAGCGACATCTCCTTGCAAGCAATCACGATAAATTCCCCCCCGTAAAAATTCTATTGTTTCATCTCTTTATTCAACTATCACTCCTCTAATGCGGCCAGCGATCACTATTTTACTTATAAATTTAACAAAAAATCGCCGTTTCAACGGCCATTGTTGAATGATACCATCTTGTCGTACTTTGTAACTCCCCTGCTAATCCCGTGAGTAGTAGTTAATTAACTGGACCCCCACTGATCAGGTAAAAAGAAATGTGAAAATAACAATAAACCCATGATTATCTGTTAATTAATCTTTTGTTTTATTAAACGACTAACCTATTTTGAGCTGAAATTTTGAGACAAGGTAAATACACCATTCCTCTATATTTTGGTGCGTAAATTTCATACGTACTCAGACTTTTATTTTTGAGACTCTAATCAAATAGAAATAGTCCCTTTAAGAAAATACATGTACAATAAAAGAAGTTATCTAAAATTTGTAAGTATTTCACTTAGAAATCAATTTAATAGGATCTTAAAATAGTCATAAACTTTGAAAAACAAAAACCTGCCTTGCTAAGTCACAAAATCACTTCATATTATTTTAATCAATATTGAGTGGAAAACTGGTCTTGTATTCAAAGATCCTTGATGTTTCAGTCATGCAGAGCTTAAGGCCACAACGGCTAAATGGGTGCTAACTAGTGCTAATAACAGCTAATCGGTCACAGGTCAGGATTAAAAGATGTGAAATGGGGTTTAACATCCTTCTATTCTGCTCCGACTGGACTAATGAAGACGCGCTTATGACATACAGTGTGCTATGAGTTAAATTTTGCCAAGACAGTGGCAATACAGCCAACTCTTATATCGAATTCTAACTGCCGAGGAACCTTTTAAGTGCACGCTAATGTGTTACACAGGACCTCATTTATTCATCCCTTCCAAGCGACTATACATTGACCAACTTTTAGAGCAGTTAATATTCTTGAACTTAGAAACAGTTTTCCAGACTATTTTCGGTTATGGTTCATGCAACTTAAATTTGATGTTTACACTCTGTTTTTTCTTTTCATCATGCACTTAGTAACATTAGCTTAAAAGACGATAAGTTAGCAATATTCTCAGAATATCTTTTTTTGTGTTGAGGGGAGGTAATAAAGTGTTAGATATTTCTAAAATTGTTTGATATTACCAAAGATATTGATTTTCTTATCACTATATATCACTCAACTATAACTTATATGAAATTAAAAATCTATCCATGAAAACATAACAAAGCTTCGATTTAATACTATTAATGGATAGAAAGACCGTTCTATGATCCCCAAGAGATATAAATTCTTTGTTAATTATTTCAGATATGTACATTATCAAATAACATGATTATTTATCTACATGTACCATATATACATGTAACTATCTTCTCTTATAATCCGATTGCACTATATAGTAAAATATATTCAAAATGATATATTCTCAAAAACTCTATTATGATGGGTTTTCACCTTTTTTTGAAATATGTCAATATTGACTGACGACAGAAAGTTACAAAGGAAGAGAGGAAATCTAAAACATTCAGTTTTTAAAAGTTAAAAGAAATGTCTGCATGTATTTAGTGAACTGGTGACTTTTAAGATTTTGGAAGTCTTTTTTTTTTAGTTATAGTGAAGTAAAAACCACAGAAAAGAACTGTGACATAATAGAAACATTTGTGATACAATAAGATAACACGCTTCTTTTGAACTATCCATTTAACTAATTATTTTTCTATATTTGGCATATCTTCCATACAAATGTACATTCAAATAAAAAATTGAATGCGTAATCACAAACAAAATTGACAGACTTCTGGTGCTTAAACATACATTATGCAAGAGCTAAATCTGCCTCTTGCAGGTCTTTCTTTAGGCCTGAAATGTTATCTGAATTATTAATTAGACATCAATTAACTTATACAGAACATAATCGACTCTCGATGTCTGATCTGCTGCTTAACGCTCATTCATGATTAAATCAAGAAATGGATAATCGAGACTATGTTTTTATTGTACCGACTTTAGTACTGAAGATTGAGGCTAGGCCCAAAATTCAATCGCTAAATTTTCGGTTCAGAGTGGATCAATCTGACTGAAATTTTCAGCAAATTCCATTTACATTATCTAGTTTTTAACTGTTATAGTGAGAACTGCCAGCTCTTTATCTAATCTCCCATAATGTATCTTTAAAGAATGTTAATAATTCTAAATACTACAACATTGTCAGTATTTTCCTCCATTTTGAATCCACTTGAATTCTTTTAATTGCGAATAAATCTATGCATAATTGTTTTTCAGACATAAAAGTTCATACTACCCTGAACTTGGTATATATTGTACTGAAACCATCATCAATGTAATTCAAGTTATGTCCCTTCTTTGTAATAACAGATAATTGTATAGGTCTACCATATATATAATTTATGACATTAATTATTTGATGACATGTACGTTAGTAATTAACGTGTGTTACTGAAACCTAGATAGTGTGTATAGTGGCATTTTGTGATTTCAAAATGGCTGTCCATATTCAGAAACCAATCAGACAAACAAGATTGATTGACTCCACCTAAATCATATTGACTATATGAGACTATGTTTGATATTTTTTTGTTGTTTTTTTTTTCTTTGTGAACGCCAGCATAAAATTAACAATAGTCTAGCAAATACTCAACACATCTTTAATTTTACACTGACAAAAGATCAGATACTGAGAAAAGATCAGATATCGAAAAATTCAAGCACCAATTGGGATCAGTCACAAATTAACTTTATATAATGGGAAGTAACTCTTGTGTTGTGTTGTGTTAATGAGCCTTACTCACTGAGCCAGAGTTCTCCCTACCCATTTTATTGTGTCTAAAAACTAATGAAATGAAATGGGGGTTTAATGTCCTACCATTCTGTTCCGACTGGGCTAATGAAAATGGGCATACGCCATACAGTGTGCTAGGAGTGAAATTTTTCCTGGACGGCAGCGCTACGGCCTACTCTTATATCGAATTCCAACTGCCAGGGGTTCTTTTACGTACACGCCAATCTGTACACAGAATCTCTTTGTTCCGCTCCCTCCGAACAGCTGTAAGTTGTCCATTGTCAGACACTCTGTCTTGCACGTCACCGGAAAACCCAGATTAACTTTCTCGTCAAACAGCGGGATCCAACTCAGGGCCTCCAGGTGAGAGAGCCAACGTCTTACTCAATCCTGAGATGAGGCATGACGAAGGAAGTTCCTTTCACTTTGTAACCTTTAAGAAACCCTTCTATACCTCAAGGGTACGAAAATTAGTCCCCCATCCCTTACACCACCACACAATTTGATAGAATGTGTGCACAGTTTTAAAGGAGAAGTTATTAAATGTAAATTGTTTGTGACAGACTGTTAGTAGTGACAACATAAGATCTTTGAGCTAAGAAAATAATAAAATAAAAGAGAATAGGGTTTATCGAACTTTACATTAACAAGAAATCAATGCAAATAAAAAGTTAATGTGATAAAGAAATTTATCAGTCAGATTAATTTGAATACACCTTTTTTCTGTTGCAAATTTTTACGCAAATGATATATAGAATAGCTAAGCTCACAAATCAGTAGAATAGCTAAGCTCACAAATCAGCAGTATCATCTAATTAATTATCAAATTCTGAACAGTAATTAGATGAGAGGCTAATCAAAGTCGTTAATAATAGAACAATGATGTAATTAATTATCTTATTCGTACATTAAACATACAAGAAGCCACTCAGTCGTTATTATAGAAATATGTCATCTGAAGATGCATTACATAAGAGCTGAATCTGTGGATTGCATGGCTTTATTTTGACTTCAAATGTTATATAAATCATGAATTGGATATTTAATCATTTATTCACATGACAAGCCAATAATGAACTTTCTAGTCCATCGGATTGTTGAAATTAATTTAGATTAGTAAGTCAGCGAGATTATAAAAATGAACGATAAAATGGATAATCAAGACTTAATGTCTTGTTTGTCAAGTGCTATTGCTACAATAATAAATAATCTTTCAACAACTCATAACTTGGCTCAGAATAAAGTAATTTTATCAAAATTTTCAATCTTCAACGATCAATTTTCATCATTTTTCATTATCTATAAGAGAGATATACGATTTAAGTCCAATCAACACCAATTATGTCATTTTGGGACTAACATGTCGAACAATTTTACACCAATAATTCCCCTGCTAGTAGGGGTCTTTAGCAACTGGAAGAAACCTGAGGATCCGGAGAAAACCTATCAGGTTAGGCAGACGACCCTACTCCTTTTCCAGTACACGTGTGGGATCGAAAACCAACAGATCTTATGATCTAAAGCACAAGCAGCCCTCCTAACCCCACCATGATAATTATAAGTACAGAACTGTGTATATCGGTGTAGAGCTACTGGAACTAAAACATTGATGAGGATCGCAGAATCCACCGAACTCTATCACAGTTTAGACCAACACATAACCCGTTCATGGCCATCCTGAAACTATAACATAATTTCTAAACTTACCTTAATTACAGAGACGATAGATTCAGCACCATTACTCGATAAATTACATGCTGAAAAGTTGACTGAGTTGATATTGACAGCTTGTTTTACAGCCTTGCACACCACTAGTAAAAACAAAAACACAGACAAATTAAGAATATTGATGGTATTCTTTAAGTGGCATTTAGCGATCAGGGAACAAATTAACAAAACACAGTTTTTATGGGATACAATCACTAGTTTATTCTTGTCGAAACGTCGTGCTTTTAGAATAAACTAGTGATTGTATCCCATAAAAACTGTGTTCTGTTAATATTGATGGTGTTTCAACTGAGGTCTAGCATTTCCACGAGTTGGTCAATCAAAATAGCTTACTTAAAGGAACCATAAATGTTGAACAATATGGTTTGGCAATTTTCTTTGGGAAGAGTTGGAAGCTGGATCAAAGCTAACTTTGATCACCAGAGGAATTACATAAAATCATAGGACTAAGCCTCAAATGAATTTGGCCACTCCAGACCGGCAGCCCACCTATATAAGGTGAGTCCTGTGTTCAATCCCAGTGTTGGTCGAGAAAGTTCATTGGGATTTTCAGCATGGCTCCCACTTATCAGGGGTGCAGGATGGGACAAAAAACTGAAGTCCCATATACACATGCAAGTAAAAAAAACCTTAACAGTTGGAATTCAAAGGAGTAGGCCATAGTGCCACTGTAAAGGACACATTTCCCTCATAGCACACTGCATGGCGTATGCCGATCTTCATTAACCTGGTTGGTGTAGAAAAGTAGGATGTTAAACCCCATTTCATTTACTTACTCTCTAAACCTTTATCTCCAATTAAACACTGCTCCATTGATAAATGTTTTAAATGTGTAGATTTAGCTAAACCCTAAAATATAAAACAATACTAATATTTCTCAAATACAAAATAAAATTTTAATGCATGTACAATAACATGACATATTTATGACATACAGTTTTCATTTCACCATTCAAATCTGCAACAAGTTAAAAAATTAAGGAAATCCAACTAAACACGAATTTGACTGATATCTCTACTAAGTAAATACAGTAGTGTACCAAATTTGAATCCAATATCTCAAAGATAAATTTGATAAATTTCCAGGAAACAAAAATAACAGACGGATGGAGAGAAAACCTATAATAAGGAACTAGTTAATAGACCTTTTCATCGTGCTTGGCTACTTTTTTGCACCGACTTGCTAATGAAGACGAGCATACACCATACAGTATGCTATGAGGGAAATTTTACCCATACAGCGATGCTATAACCTACTGATATATCAAATTCCAGATGTCAAGTGTTCTTATATGTGTATACCAATGTGTAGACACTTGTTTTTTGCGTCCCATCCGAATGACTACACACTGTTTTAGCTAGGCCCTTCATCCTGCATGACGGACAAGGGAAAACAATGCAGCAAAATCCAACACCAACTTTCTTTACCAACACCAGAATCGAACTGATGACTTCCTGGTTACTGAGCAAGCACCTTACTCACTGAGCAACCACGGTTTCAATTATATCTGGAAGGCAATAAATATCTAATTTAAATTAGATTGGTTTTTATTATGTGCTGAAATACTATATTTAAAAAAATACCTTTACAAGACAATTTATATCTCTTTGTCTCATTGGTAAACCTTGTAATTCTAAACATGATAACTGGGGCGATTTACTCAGACATTCTTGTAAAGCTTTACACAATCTATAGGTTATCTCCCTTGAACGAATAGCAGGTGTCTTCTGTTTTTTCTGTGCTGAAGTTTTGACATCACCTTTAAAAATACACAATTTAAAATACAAAACAATCAAACTATGCAAATAATTTGAAAATTGGAAAAGATTTTGATTCTATCAGTGCTCAGAGTTATTGTGTTCCAAAAGGTTTATTGCAGATGAAGATCTGCTTAGTCTGAGCAGAAAATACTCAAGGATCTCAGTTAAGTCATTCCTCGTATGAACATTTAACACCATGTATATATATACATGTACGTAGAACACAAATAAATTATCATCCTACACACCTACAACAAATTATTCTATTTGTAGACATTAATTATATATAACAATTTACTCAACAATTTATTTGTGGATATTAACATTTTACTCAACAAATTTTGGATATTAACAATTTACTCAACAAATTATTTGTACATGTAGATATTAACAATTTACTTAAAAAATAATTTGTGGATGCCTGTAGGCCTATCAATAATTTACTTAACAAAATAAGTGTGTATATTAACTATTGCCTTAATTAAAAACAAATTATTCGTCAGCACTAACAAATTAATCGTGGATATTAACAAATTATTCATGGATGTTAACAATCTATTCAAAAATACTATAAACTTAGGTTTCCATATTCATACTGTACATACCTTGATTTTCCTTTGGTTCCATAAAGCTACTTCTAACAGCTACAAATTCTAAACTCTTATTAATTTGTAATGTATCTAAGATAGGTTTCCAATCATTAGCCCTGAAAAATATTGATTAGAAATATACAACAGCTTTACAACCATTCATGTGTTGCTTAAAAGCAAATTACAACAAACAGGTTTAATTATTATATTATATTATTAGTTCACAAGTGTTTATTCAATCAGGCACCTGTATATTTGCGTGAACTGATTTAGTTGTATACACCTGGAAGGTCGGGCTTAAGATCTGATAATTCCGAACTCTACGCTCTCATATGAACAGACACTAAACATAGTAATAAAAATTACAGATGGCAAGTCTTTTCAACCATAGCGCCATTCCTATGGAATAAACTTCCACAACATCTTCGTCAGCAAAGGGAACTAAGTTCATTTAAGCGTGGTCTTAAAACCTATTTATTCAGCAGGCAAATTTAACCCTAAAATTTTTACTTTGTACCTTATAATAATTGTATGGCTTTTATAATTAATGTTTTAACTTTTATCTCATATTATTTCTCAACATTTCTCTAACTTATATCCCATTTTATTTTTTATCATTTATATAGATATCTTATATTATATTTTATTTCATTATTATTATTATTAAAAACAGACAAAATCGTCACTAGAGACAAATTTGTCTAGGAAATCACAGGTGCCTGTACAGTGGTAAATCTCTTTTAAAAATAAGTCTATTATCTTCATGATCGTAAGTGAGTTTATCAAATTCAAGGTGAGAAACATCGCGCAGGCGTAAGGTGTGATCAAAGTCCACTACACCCGGCATTCCGTCAACCAATAGCAACACTCACTAGTTCTTACTAGTTAGGTCTCTATAAACAAAAACGACTTTGTACAGCCTTCATATACAACAAATTTTCAGTTTTGATGTAAACCAAACAACAAATGATCTTACCTGATTCTATCTCCACTGATGTCAAGAACACCCTGAGATAAATGAGCTTTAACAGCCGATAGAGGAGCGGAATCTTGAAGAGCACACAGATTATCATAATGACTTTCAAAATCATATGCACCACGCTGTCGTTCTTGTACACTTTGAATCATTTTGCAGGCTGTTAATCCACTGTATGATACTTAAAAACTGAAAAAAAAAAATTCAAATCTTATTACTTTTTAAAAATGAATATACATCATGTATTCAATTGATGCATAGTAATCTGGAGCCAAAGGGGGGTGGGGGGGGGAATGGTGGAATGGTTAGCATGTGCTTGCTCTATCATAAGGCCTGTCATTGAGTCAACTGGCGTGGTTTCGAATCCCCGGTTGTACTCCAGGTCTTCCCACTGATAAAGACCCCTACACGCAAGCGAATTATAGAAATAAAATTTTTTAAAAAACATATGTTAGTCCCGCAGTGACCTAGTTTGAGTCAAGAGAACTTAGTATAGTATTGGCTTTCAAAAGCAAATAATTGTTGTGTTTTTAAAATTTTTATGTGCTCAATCCCTAAATGCCCCTCTACAGATGACGGTCCATGTCATGTATGTATTCGTGTAGCCAAATCACGTCAAATAGCAAATACATCAACCAGCCAATTAGTATTATAAAACATTTAGATAGCACTGACATCACTATGCACTATACATGTACCTATAATATTCAAATGTTTACAAATACATGTATATGAATGATAAACACAAAGCACAAAGGCTACAAGATGTAAATTACAAGTAAATGGAAGAAGTAAATCAACATCAAATGAAAGCCTGTAAAACTAAAACTACATTTAGAAGTAGATGAGTTTTAAATTTGTTTTTCCTTTAAAAAAATAGATTTAGTTTGGTTATTGTGTAAATCAAAATATTCCCTAGTTTTACAGTTTGTGTAATAAAAGACCTGTTGTACAACTACATTATTTATTTATATGCTATAGAGCTACAACGACATCGTGAGACTGAGATGGTACATGTATACATGCCACGGTTCAGTTCACGGTACTTCGACTATCATGCACATTTATGTTCCCCTGTAGATCAAGTGAAAAGGAGGAAAGATGGCTTCTGTCGATGAAACATTCTTTTTTAAGTAAATTTGGAAAGAAAAAATACTGTGATACGTATTGTATCGTGAGGTCCATACCGTGATACTGTATGTATCGTATCATGAGGTTATATATCGTTGCAGCCCTAGTATGCTACATGTTTTACTTTACGGTGTTTTAAATATTAATCCCCCACCCCCGCAAAAAAAATGATGATCAGAAAGTGAGAAAATGATCCAAGATTTCTACTAGTTGAACTCAATTCTAAAAGTTCAATTCTACCATTATCAGCATTACATTTACATGAAATTCACTGTTTTTGTTTCCTTACACAGTCTAGATTTGTTGATTCAACTGATTTTTTCTTAAAGCGACAATAACACTCTTGCTGGCTTGAAAGCTCCAGAAAATAAATAATATCTCTATGTAAGTACTAGATGTTTAAGTGTCCTACCTGTTGTGTAAATTATCCATTACAACCTATTTTACTTGTCCAGAGGGTTCGAAAACATTTTTAAATCGAAGTTTCATTTGAAAAGGTTTACGTTAGACGTTTCAAACCATTATGTTGAATTTTTCAAAATGTTTAAATAAGGTGTGTTAAGATGACGATTTGTATCATCAATTAATTGAAATATTCTAAAATAGTACAATTTGTTGACCAGAATAAAGATTGGGACATATTATTCAGTTACAACAAGAGTGGTAACTGGTATTGAGCCTTTAAAATTAATGTTTATGGTCTAAATATTGAGTTTACATACTTGAGATCTAAATCTCAGTCATTTTTCAAAGACATGTAAATGTCACACATACCAATTTACATACAGAATTTAAATTTAGTTGTGTGTAGATTCTTTCTTTTTTTTTTTAATTTTATGGACAATGTCAATGTGTGTGTCTCACCTAGATCTAGATCTACTCAGTCACAATTACAAGCTATATCCATTTTTTTAAATATGTTTTGAGCAGCTGTTGTTTTAGAGTATTTAGAGTGTACTAAAACTGTCACTACCTAAGTATCAATTTTTGTAGGCCCTAATTGACAAGATAAAGGAAATGTGATTTCGTGTTGTGACATGTGAAAAGTAATGTTGATTGATTTGCTGGGGCAGTGATTTAATTTGTAAACAAAGGTTAATGACAGCAAACGGATTATGCTTTAAACCCATTCTGACCATAAATCGTTTAATCTGTTAATTACTTACATATTAATCAAATTAAGAGTAGAAATTGGGAAAATGACAGGTATAAAATGAGATAAAATCACCGATGTTGAGCATTCGAACGAATCAACTCTGGCGCCATGTTTTAAAACTATCCCAGAATTCTACAACATAGTCATATCCGGTTAGAATAGAAACCACCAGAAAATTCTGAACAGAGCAAGGTCTGGGTATAAAAGATAAATCTACCATAGAAGTATTTTCTAGATTATTATAAGACGCAAGTATTAGATCTGCTGTCTCACTAACAGTTTGATTGAAGTTCAAAGTAGCCTAGTCTGAAAAAAAAAGAGAAGGTAAGTCGTAGTCTATCATCACGATTCACGAGTCAGTTTTCTAACCTCGACTCACTCAGCCTCAGGTCACCAATCAATGGAATAGGCCTACATACAGGTTAAGGTTTGTGGAGATATTCCATAGATTACAATTGAAATATAGACCAGTACAATATGTACTCTAAAGAAACTTCAGCCGGCGGAGCATTTATGAAATAAGGTTGTAATTATTATAAACACCTGATGATAATTATGTCTTTCACACCAACCAACAAGAACAAGGATGACAAATCACAATTTCACCTTCTGTACTGCTACCAGTGCCAGTAGTACATGTAGATCTACTTACATGTACAGTACTCAAAAACTACCAAACAAGACAATCTAGATATGATATGTTTGTAAAAATGATAAAATATGCTTATTCACTTACCACTGACTAAGCCTTACCCACCTGTACCGATGAGTATAATGACAATGTGTTCTTACTTATTCATGAGGGGGAAACTAGAACTTAAATGTACTGCATGGTTATTGCCATTGGGGCTTGGTTTTGAATAAAGCTTACACATGTTGGTAGGCGACACAACTCATGAAGCGTTTGGAAATGAAATCAGCAAACACAGTGTTTTTCCATCACGATTCGCCGAGTTGCAGATGGTTAATAGAGAAAAGAGTCCCATGACTCGCCAGCATAAATCATAAATCACACCACAATGCACAAAATTGCAAGTCATTTGATAAAAAAATAACAGCAAAACAATGAAGAACCAATGAATGATAACCTGTCCTTGAATAAAACCCAATGACTTTAACTCGTTGTTTATAATTTAACAATGGTGGAAATGAGTACATGTACCAGTAGAGGATTTTGATCATTCTAATTTGGGATAAATACAAAGCCAGCCAACAAATGCTTTTGAAATGAAATGGAGTTTAAACCTCCTGCTGTTTGATTTTATTTATTTATTGTTGGTTTTATTTATCAGATAAGAAATACAGGTATAAAACTAGAGAAGGAAGATGGTGAAGGAAACTAAGTTCTATGACATATTAGGTGTAAAGCCTAATGCTACTGACAGCGAGATTAAAAAAGCATATAGAAAACTTGCTTTGAAATTCCATCCTGATAAAAACCCTAATGAGGGAGAGAAGGTGAGAAGATAATTCTTATTTACAGAGTGAATAGGGTTAGACAACATCGAAATTTAAAACTGGGTTTAGAACATCCAGTGCAATATCTATGGAAGCACAGTGTGACTCACTTTAAACGAGATAATCACAGACACTATTCTATGGAATCCTATTATAGAATTTTGTCTTGTGTATTTCAAGTTAACACTAAATGCTATTGAAACAGTTTAAACAAACTGGTTTCTCTAGGACATTAGAAGTTAAATGCAAGGGTTGGAGTACATGTAACTACATGTAGATACGACTTTGCAGTAATAAAAATGATCCTTACATCACTGTTCCATTATTTATGTTCTTTTGTTTTGTTTTTTTAGTTTAAACAAATAAGCCAGGCTTATGAAGTTTTATCTGATGCTAAAAAGCGTGAAATTTATGATCGTGGTGGAGAAGAGGCAATAAAAGGAGGAGATACTGGTGGAGGAGGATTCCACTCCCCTATGGATATATTTGACATGTTTTTTGGTGGTGGTGGTGGTAGAAGTCGTGGTCCAGCTAAGGGTAAAGATGTAATACATCAGATGAAAGTTTCATTAGAAGATTTATATAATGGTACAACCAGAAAATTGGCAGTACAGAAAAATGTAATCTGTTCAAATTGTGAAGGTAGGTAAACATACATGCATATGATGAGTCCAGGGGAAGAACGATCTAAGTCACATTTTTGTCTTTTTGCACAAAAGGCAAAACAGACTTTTTGACGAGAATGCTTGATGCGAACAGAACAGCGAGTGAGTTTAATTACAACGTCAAAATGATGTTTAATACAAATCATAATTAACAGTACAACTGACTTCCACTTTTCAGCAAAATTAAGGTCAAATAAATACGATGGGCTTGTTTGTATTTGTCCGTTAGGCCATTTCAGAAGGGCCTTGGTTCGATGGGACTCCGATCGTTTTTACCCAAAATTGATTGTTCCACAGAAAGCTTATTATACAATTTGCTACCAGATCGTGCCATTAACTGGAATTCGTTGAAAAAGTGACTTAGATCGTTCTTCCCCAGGGCTCTTCATATACTTAGTAGTTAGTGGGCTATAAAGGGTTGCTTGAAAACGACAATAGAATCATTGGTGAAATGTAGCTCCAATTGAATACAGTAATTGTTTATCCATAGAACTTATCTTGTTGCCTGTCTGGTTAAAATAAAGAATCTTATTGATTCTCAACCTTTTTCTATAATTATCTGAAGAGTTATGCCCCTTAATGAAATCCTGTTAATAGTTTAATAGGCTGCATTTGTTGACCCATCTTTCTGAAATTTATATTGATTGTTTATTCTATTGAAAAGGACAACCCTATTCAATTTCATCAATTTTATAATATATTCCAGCATTACACCCATCTTATACATGTATGACCACTTTATATGGTCGTTTATTGCCGTCAGTCAACCCTACATGTATCTATAGATTCATGAGATGAAGAATCCTATTGATTTTCAATGATTTCCGACAACTTGAACAGCTGGTACATGTTTTGTGTATAGTTGAAGTAGGAAGAGACCTTTCGTATTTTAATCATTACCTCATGTGTTGTAAATCTTAATCAGTTGTAATTAGTTTCTAATGCTCCTCTTGCCTACTCCCCAAACTATAGATGTAACAGCCTTTATGGACTGCTCCGTCGACTAAGCTTCTGCAGGGGTGTGTTTTGTTGTCTTTAATGTTAAAGAAAAAATTAAAAAAAACAATCTTGTTTAAGGTTTGTAGATGTTAAAATAATAAACTAATGAACATAAAAATCTGAAAACTGTGTGCAATGTTCAACATATTTTACTTGACATCACAACCTTCGTGCCGTTGTTCTTACCATCCAAATTTTGTGTTCAAGTCTATAACTGCAAATCATATCCCCCCCCCCCAACCCCCCATTGGTGTATTATACCATAGTTATATCTATTTAAATAAACTATTTGTGCAGGTCGTGGTGGTAAAGAAGGAGCTGTTGGTAAATGTGGTAATTGTAGAGGTACTGGTATGTGTGTACGTATTCACCAGTTGGCACCTGGTATGGTACAACAAGTCCAGAGTGTTTGTAATGAGTGTCATGGACAAGGCGAGAAAATCAATCCTAAAGATCGCTGTAAAAATTGTATGGGTAAAAAAGTGATTAAGGAAAGGAAAATTCTAGAAGTGCATGTAGATAAAGGTATGTTGTAATTTATTTTTTGTTTATTAATGTTGTTGATATGAAATCACAAATTATACATGTATATTGATATTGTAATAATTACTCAACAGGATTTTATCTGATTAACCAATGAAATGGCATGTTCATTCAATATACACAGCCGTTCTAGAGGTATGTCATTAGTTTGTAGGGGGTCACGGTGGGCAAAGTGGGTAAGACGTTGTCTCGCTAGCTTGGAGATCGGGTGTTCATCTAGATTTTCCGGCGTGGTTCCCCCTAGTCAAGGACAGCTGTGTAGTCGTTCGGATGGGACAAAAAAATGAGGTCCCATGCACACATTGGTCTGCACGTAAAAGATCCCTTAACAGTTGGAATTCGATATAAGAGTAGGCCGTAGTGCAGCTGTCTGGGTAAAATTTTCCTCATAGCATACTGTATGGCGTATGCCGGTCTTCATTAGCCCAGTCAGAGCAGAACAGTTGGACGTTAAACCCCATTTCATTTCATTAGTTTTTAGACACAATATATTGGGTTGGGAGAACTATGGCTCAGTGAGTAAGACTCATTAACACAGGAGGTTTTTGTTTGAATGCAGTGTTGGCCGAGAAAGTGCTTTAGGATTTTTTCAGCGTGGTTCTACTTGGCAGGCAGTGTCTATTTGTTCATATGGGATGGAAAAAAACATGCCATGTGCAATCTGGAAATATGGCACCTGTCACAGATATTGTCAGGCACAAATTCAGACTTTTGTCAGACAGAAAATCTCTGGTGCCTGTCTTTCTAAGGCACAGATTTGTTTAATATTATTAATAAGCTTACATGTCGGGCTCATCCTAAAGAGAAATTGTTTTCTATAAATAGGTATGCGAGATGAACAACAAATCCGTTTTTCGGGTGAAGGGGATCAAGAACCGGGGCTTGAACCAGGTGATATCATTATAGTACTGGATGAAAAAGAGCACCCTGTGTTTAAAAGAAGAGGAACAGATCTTAAAATGGACATGGAATTAGAATTAGTAGAAGCCCTTTGTGGATTTAGTAAATCTATACAAACTTTAGATGATAGGACATTAGTTATCTCAACTTTACCAGGTAGGCATTTATTCTGAGCAATTGATGTTGTTCACTTATGTGGGCGTTTTACTAATGAAAATGTTTGTCATTAAGTCATGCAAGTCATCATTACTCTTAAACATACATTATGCAAGAGCTAAATCTGCCTATTGCAGGTCTTTCTTTAGGCCTGAAATCTTATCTAAATTATTAATTAGACATTAATTAACCTATCCAGGCCATAATCTACTCTAGATGGCAGCGCTAGCCTGCCATCTTTAGTGGATTGTAAGCCGATTTACTGCATAACTTTCCTTCTCGATTAAACGATTTAATGGATAATCAAGACTATGCTGTTTATTGTACTGACTTTAGTAATGATGACCGAGGCTTATGGGAAGTTCAGTCGCTTAGTTCTCGGTTCATAGTGGATCAATTTGAATGAAATTTTCACCAAATTGCCTTTACATTATCTAGTTTTTAACTATTATAGTGAGAACTACCAACTCGTTACCGAATCTCCCATAATCTCCCATAATGCATATTAGTATGAGCAGAAAGTGGTGAGAAATTATACAGTAGTCAATAATTAGCAGGTGTGTAACTGGCTGTAAAAGATGTCACTTCTGGTATAAAAGTGATTATTTGTTATATCCACCGCTACTGAATACACAAACCTAACTACTAGTGGTGTTAGACCCAATCGTAACACCATTTAAACAACTACTTAATGACTGTTTTATTACTAACCATTTTAATTTGCTAGTTAACATTATGCACAAATAATAACGTTGGGTCTGTTTAGATAAACAAGCAGATGATTCTGAATATACATTTATTTTAGTTAATCAGGTTCATGATAAACATAATTTGGGATGCATACAAGATTTGTCTCCCTTGTAACACTTGGACAAGAATTCTTTTACTTTCCAGCCTTTTTTCATAATCAGGGCCCTGTTTCTCGAAATCTTAACTAAAGATAATATCCACATTTTAGTAGATACTTTAATTTTGATTGGCTAAGCACTAAAATCAATCTAATATTATCTAATCAAATTACTAAAATTTGGATTTTATCTTAGTTAAAATTTAGTGAAACAGACCCCTGTTTTATATTTTAGTTCTACTTGGAATTCAAAATATTTTCTTTTTTTTTTCAGGGGAGGTCGTAAAGAATGGTGATATAAAGTGTGTGTTGAAAGAAGGTATGCCAGTTTATAAAGACCCTTTTGAGAAGGGCAGACTTGTTATTATTTTCAGTGTGAACTTCCCACCAAATAATTTCTTACCAAAAGATAAATTGAAATCTCTGGAAAAATTACTACCACCAAGACAAGAAAGTATAATTCCAGATGGAGCTGAGGAGTGTACATTAATTGACTTTGATCCTTCAGCCTCGGGAAGGAGGCGTGGAAATGAAGCGTATGATTCCGATGATGAAAATCCTGGAGGTCAAAGAGTTCAATGTGCATCACATTAATGGACATTTTATGTTAGTTATTCTCTTCCTTGATATTCAAGGGGAAAAAAAGACTTTCATGTAAACATTTAATTCATTTCATGATATATTAAGGACATGTATCCTCCGCACCAAACTTTTAACTGCAACTATGTTTGCAATGATCTGATGATATAAATAGTAGGGGTGATGATTTTCTGTGATCGCGGAAAAAACGTGGAAATCGCGGAATTGTCCACTCAAAACGGAATTTGAAATCTCACACGGAAAAAGACGGAAAAGCCGATATTTGCTGATACTAAACACAAACTCAAAACAATTTTGCAGTTATCGAAGTATTTCATCTTTTTATTCATAAAAATCGGAAATATTGACTGATATCGCATGGTTTTGTTACTGTCTATTTTAGTATTTAGCTACTTTCATTTCATCATTTAGGAATCATAATTTTAATCGAAACGAAAACCCGTCTTTCAGGTATCCCTGTATACAATTACTCGTAGTTTTACTTGAATTAAACATTGTAATGTATATATATTAAGGCTGGGAATCGATATGAAATTTCAATATCGATTATCGGCAAGAATTTGTCAGCGATTATCGATAATAATCAATTATCATTCTTCCGGAAAAACCGAACTTTACCGACCTGTTATTTGTGTTGATCGAGTTACAGTAGTGTTATTATCCTCGTCTAATACTGTGCCGATGTACGTAAAAAAATCAATTAATATAAAATAATTAGTTGCTAAATGTAGGATTAACTTGAGTATTATTCTAAGTTTTGTTCTTGATTCATTTGAACCTTTTTTTTATTCCAATATCTCCGATAAATACAAAGACAATACATGGTTTCTCTTTGCAAGTTACTGGCGATCACAAAGTGTTACTAATAATAGAATAAAGTATAATAGAAGGCGTCTATTGATTGGACAATAAAAAAATAATTACCGGCTTTCAAAGTAGAATTTTTATGATTGGTTAATTTTGACGAAAACCAAAGTAGAATTCTTCCAAGAAATTCCCGGGAAGTCAAAAACGTGTTTTGTATGGGCTGTATCTGACATGATTTAGTAATAAAAGCTGAGTTGATCATTAATAATACAATTAGTTTTATCGTGAAAGCAGACAATTTCTCTACAAATCAATCAAGAGCAAAGAAGGGAGATAATTCTAATTTTACTATATCACATGCGATCGTCATTGTTCACAAAGTGCGTGACCTATTTTAGTTTCAATTAGTAATAACAACAAAAACAACGAAAATATTAAAATAATGTATTTAATCTTAAAGTTTAGTTTTTTTACAATAATATATATTTAAAATGTGCCAGTTTGTAAGCAGAGGGGGAAAATAGTTGTTGTGTTTATGTTATGTATTCGTTCATTCGTCTGCATGCCAGACTACGGCAAGTTCAGTCATGTGAAAGTGACCGTAACTTGCCGTCAGAAGGTAAATATACCGATAATCGATAATTGAATTTCAATATCGATTATCGTATCGCTAAATAACTTCTACCGATTATCGATTATATCGATATTTTTGCACAGCCTTAATATATATGTCTTAAAAAAAACTTCTGTCACTTCATAAAAGTAAAAATCGTTTCATTTACTTCTTATTTTACTGCCGGGCTTGTGACTCATGTTTATCCGCATTAACCACGTGACATCACAAATATACCATAGCCTTGTGAATCCAGCCCTTATTCTTGAAGAAACGGTAGTAACTACGAAGATGTCTGGATAAATCGCGACTACCACGAGCAGCTGAGAAAAATGGCTTCGTCTGCTAAAAAGATGAAACGAGCTCACAAGATGTAATTTTCTGTTATTTAATTCGGGAAACAGGTTTAAAGAATAACTAGTCATTGAACATTACAAGTCATTCACAATTCAACATTTGTTATCATTGGTTTAAAATGGTCCGTTTTGTAATAAAAGGCATTTTAAGATGTTTTATTCATTTATTCATAAAATAACATTTTATCTCGAAAAAACGGAATATGGTCAGCTCTGAAACAGAAAATAACGGAATTAAAAATACTTAAAACGGAATTTGCTATTTTCTGAAACGGAAAATCATCACCCCTAAAATAGGTTGGCTAAATAATGACTTCCTGTCACATGACCAGTGTATCTTTTGTAGTTATGTTAGAAAACAAATTTGAGAAAATCAAACATACATTCAAACTGGACAAAAGGGCAGAGTATTTCATATAACCAAGATATGTTCATAATTATAGAATCTTTTGGTTGAATTTATTTTATATCGAGCAACTTATTCAACGAACATCATTTTAAATCGTTGGGCATAAAAAGTGCCATTTGTTTGATTCAATTTTGATTAAGAACACTGGGTTCCCATCACCAAAATGAAGGGGTAGTGTAAAATTGATAATTTACTTTGTCACACAAAAATGTCGAAATAGACTATAAAAAAAAAGGTTTTGTTTTGGTTTGCTTTATTTGTTTAATCTAAAAATGAAGCATTTTCAACATTTTGGTTCATATCATAAACCAAGGATATGCAACTTAGTTTGCTGTCAAAGCCATTCTGAAAAAAAAAAATCCTTAACTTAAACACAAGGAAATGTGTAATACATGTACTATCTCCATGTTAATTCAGCTTTTAATTCTTTGTCATATTTTTTTTCTAAGATGTGAATGATTTTTTTTTCTTTAGTGAAAATGTTTATAATGTATAGGCTTATTATAGTTACAGGTGAGACAAACATATGCATATTTAAACCTTTTTTTTTGTAATGCTTTGACTGTCAACAAAAAAAAAATAATAATTGGTGTTTGCTTTCCTTAAAGGAGCTAAATCTATGTGATCCTAATATCCAATATTTATGACATAATGAACATTAAAATGACTACACGATTCCTGTATTCTATAGACATAATGGTTTCGACCACCATTTGTAATGAATGACCAAAGAAAAACATATCCCAGAAGACAATGAGGAAGTAACTGAAAATGTATGTTTCACAAAAAGCAGACTCAAATGACTGCCATTTTATTTCTATATTTCAACGAATAAATTGATATGTAATTAGAATAAAAAAATTAAAAATTGAAGATTGAATATACATCACTTTATAGAACCATTATTGTCAATTTTAGGGCTCCAAAAAATAGAGGTATACACCCTTTAAGTTCTAATATTTGTTGATCCATATTTAAATGACAAAGCAAAGCTAAGTACATTGTAAAACATTACATACAATACATACAAAGTAAAACTATGAATACATCTAATAAGATATCTGAAGGAATTTCTGAAGATTTCATCAGCAAGTCTTTAAATAAGGCATCCATCACAATATCGGACACAATTCTGGGATTGTTTTTTTTTTTCAGACACCTGAGTTTGTCTGGTGTCTGTCAGACATAGATTTGTCCATTTTCTGTGGGTTTTTTTTTGTTTTTTTAATAAATCGTAAATGTGTGCCTGGCACAAGGTTAAAATATGGGTACTGGTGCAGTAGTGCTTGACATTCTGTCTGTTACAAATAAAATGATGATTTCCAAGCCTATTTATCCAGTATGATTTAAAATGTTTTAAGCGTTCACTAATGTTTGTTCATTCAAAAATGATAATAATTGTTGACAAGTTAAGCAATGTTGTTGTTATTACTGTTGTCATCATCGGCTCTCAACAATTTTGACCTCCCTTTGTTTGTAACTTGCCTTGTATCAGAATTGTTTGTATTTTGATTTTATTCTGTTATTAGTTAAACAACTTATGATCAAATTCATTTGACTTTCATTCAAACAGAAGTAAAGTTTCAAACATGGTTTTCATATTTTTAAAGACGACCTTGGCAAAGGGGATGTTCTGTATCCCAGAAAGAAATGATCTGTTAAGTGCACTATCGTCATTTGAGGGATTAAGATTATTAATCCCCCTTGCAAAGTAGAAGATTGTGTCTTTCACCTTGCGGATCATCATCGCCCCTCCCCTTTTTTCTTGCCTGGTTAACCTTTAAAGCTGTCATCACCAATCACCACCATTCCACACACCCATTTCTTCAGCATTATGAAATTGATATTATGAAAGTGTAAAAAAAAAACAAGTTATTTAAAAAGCTAGATAGATCAATATAGGTTATAAAGGAGATTTCAGAATTTGTTCCACCAAATAGATTTTAACCTTTTTTTAGCGACCAACAAAGATCTGTTTACCTGCGACTTAAAGGTAAAATAAAGTATGCCTTGCTTACTCATTTCACAACATTATTTACTTCTTTTTGTCATGAACTGTTGTATGTTGAGTCATTAATAATTTATTTTGTAAAGTGTTTAATAAAATGTGATAGTGTAATAATGTAATCTTCTGTTATTTGTCTAGAACTAGGTACCCAGTTTGACCTCAATGCTGGCCAAGTAAGGTTACTCTTGATGAGGAACAGATTTTGATTGGACAATATCAAGGTCCCGTGCAAACATTGGCATACATATAAAATTTAAAAAAAAAAAAGATAGGCCATAGCACCAATGTCAAGTCATTATTGCCTTCATAAAACGTGGCATGGTGATATGACTTATACCCGGTTGATGCAGAAAAACCTGCAGGTTAAGCCCCCCCTTTCTTTAATCTAGAACTTTGATGTTGATCTATACAGGAGAGGTACTTAAAATTATTGTACAACACCCACTGTCAAAAGTATTCTAGGTTTGCATGGGGTTGGATCTATTTCCAGGTTTGGTCAAAGGCCATGAGATGTAAACAGGGCTAATCCTAACCCCAGACCTAACCGTAACCCACCATCTCATCAACAATCACATGCCCTAACCCTATTTACATCTAGGCGACCTGGAGGTTGCCTTTAATATCTAGATCTACCCATTTGTATTTAAATGTCAAGTACTCATTGCAATCCAAAATTCATCTGCTGATTATAATAATCTCTAAAATAACTGATGAAAGCTGTAAGTGATGGGACCTATGTTCAATTTCTGTTTTAGGTCGAACTAAATTATAAAAATAAGCCTTCAAAATACTTCAATGTCGTTGTTCCTTATCTACTTAATTAATTCCCAGACAGCCACATAGCTTTGGCCCCCATCTGGCTGGATGTGGCCCGTATCCAGCCAGATATTGACACATGTCGGCCATAGTCTGGGTAACACTTGCAGAACTATTGGCTCACCACTGATGAATAAATCTTATTTTTAGTAACTGGTATCTAATAATATCTTGTCGGTTTGTTAAAAAGTTTTAAATTGTTTGTTTTTTTTATATTCAAAACATTTGCAAAAATAATATTTTATTACGAACAAAAAAAAAAAAATAAAGTCTTGAAATAATATTTTTTTTAATGTACTGTATAAAATATGAATGAAAGCCCCTCACCTCACCCTCCAAAAAAAGCTAGTAAATGTAAATCTTTAAAGCAAAAATAATAAATTATTCTTAAAAAAAATTCAAAGAAATAAAGACGGCCTGAGTGTTGAGTATCATGCTACAAAGTAGTCCAATTTTAATTACTATAGCAGATTCTGTACTCAAATTATACAATTTGTTGAAACCAGCGGTCAACTGTGCACGACTTTCAACAAAGCATAATTAACAGCCAATTTACTATCTTGAAATCTGTTTGGTCATTGGCTGAATTTTAAATTCTAAAATTCAGTGTAAAATAACTTCATATTAACAATAAACTGAAGACATTGCAGTGGTACAATATCATTGATTTAACCTTGAACTCAACGTGTGAAAGAATAAGTAGTATATATACATCTACATGGTATATGTCAACATGATCTTGTTCGTTTAGCCAGCTGAAGCATGTCCATTTTATAAAACTTTAACACACAAACTGATCAGCAGTATACAGTGCTAGGACTATCTAGGAAAAAGTGCTAAATTTTGGATGTTTGGGTTTGGTCCGGTTCACTGATTTTAATTGCTTGGTATGCTGATCTAAACAACATGTCCGTCTTGAGTAGCATTGCCCTAATATAAATTACATAAGCGTTGACAACTATGAACCGGCCAGTGGGAGTATCAAATAACTTAACATTTTAATTTCTAAAATAAAAATCTCCTTTTATATAAAGTCTTTGATATCAGTTGTTTAGTCTTCCAAAAACCAAGTTTTATCATGCTGAGCTATTTTTGTACGCCCACATTTTCAAGTGGACGTGTATTGAGTCGCCCCTGTCAGCCCACAATTTACTTGTGGACACGCGGCTCCTTTCGATATTGGCATTTTATCCAATACTAAAAGCTGTTCTAACATATCACCATTCCACCCTTATGATGGTTGAGTTCGAATTTCATGAAAATCGGATTGAAACTGCCCGCTCCTCGTTCGCAAATAGTGTAAAGGTATATAATACCAAGGTTGTGGACACTGTAGAAGTCACAATTTTTTATCCGATTTTGATCAAACTTAAAATATATGTCTATATTCCACGGATTTTTGTTTCTTTCCATATTCGCACATATCGGTCCGTAACCTCCTAGATTATGGACCCTGTGTGTACCAAAAATTACAGTTATACCCGATTTTAAAAACCGTTTAAATATACACCGTTACACCCTGGGTTTGAATTTCATGATAATCGGATCGAAGGCTGTGGCCCCTCTAACGATGTGTATCCGGTTTTGAAAAAAACTTAATATTATATGTTTATGTATCGAAGATCTCTGTTTGATGTTCGGGTAAATCGGGCCTAACTTCTTGCCTTGTGGCCCCTATTGTACGAGAAATCGTGGTTTTTTTTAAGCTTTTCGGATTATATGTTCATATCCCAAAGTTCTGAGTTCCCGTCGATACTTCAGACCGTGTCTGCCTGGATGATGACCTCATTTTTTTAGCTTGTTCTCTGTCCATCTCTTGCGAAATGTGGGCGTCTCTTGCATGGCAACCGCTTTTTTCAAATATATTTCATATTGAAATTCACACTGTATATCAAAGTAGCTAAGTCTTTAACTCAATATCATCCACAGTCTTCCGGCATTGAAAACACGAATGATTTGTACATTTAAATGAACGTTGATGTTGATTTTACCAGGAAAAGATAGGCCTATGCTTATGATATCCAAATTGAATAGAAGCCTATAACTACCGTTCATAATCTCTACTTTTCGTCTCTTCAAAATACGAAAGTCAAAAAGTAGAAGTTACGACAAAATGAGAAGGGGTGATTCATCTTCTTAACAATGAAGGGTTTTCTCTGGATCCACTCACTGCTAAAAAAAAAAACCACTGTGCAAGAAAATTATTGGGTTAAAAATATAGGGTATTTGGGTCCAGAAATGACCTAGTTTGTGTTGAGTGGAAGTTAAGTCTCAATTCTCTCTCACTTTCTCTCTCTCTCTCTCTCTCTCTCTCTCTCTCTCTCTCCATTTTATTGGGTATAAAGTAAGAAATATGTCAGTAAATGAGGTCAGTGTTTAAGAGTATTTTGTTAATGATCTGTTAACTCACCTGACCGTTATAACATGGGATAACTTACAATAGAATGATAAATAGTATGATATATAGATTATAGCCCTCGACTTCTTCACTCCTGCCAACTTTTAACAGCAAAATCACTAAAACAAAAGTCTGCCATTGAAAAAACGAACAGTCATCATCACGTACTTATCCCACACCGAACAAAGTTAAGGGCTTCGTCTGTACTTCCTTTTTTTTCCAGAACAGATCTAATAAACCATTTAAGATATGTTTATGAAACTTTGTTCCCATCATTCTATTATAGTAATTGTGCCATTTTATTTATACGCCCACATTGAAATGTGGTCGTATATTGTTGTTAACTATCATAGTGAGAACTGCCAGCTCTTTATCTAATCTCCCATAATGTATGTTTAATAGTGTAAAACAAAGAATATTGGAGACAGGTGATTAGGGAAATATGATATAGATATAAATGGGGGGTAATTAAGGTGGATTAAGATTCATTAAAATATAGCTGACTGAACTAAGTAACACTGTGCGGATTAGTACGACGTATTAAACATTTACTATTGGGCTGTAATTATCAATTGTAAGAATAATGCATATTTATAAACGAATTTCACCCTACTACGAGTTCTTGATGTGGAAATTTACACGGAAATATTTATTTATGGCTAGGGATATGATATCATATCTTTCTTATCTAAATTAGATCCTGTATATATATATATCAACAATAAGCAGGATGTAATTTAGATATCATATCCCTAGCCATAAATAAATATTTCCGTGTAAATTTCCACATCAAGAACTCTGTGGTGACAGAGAAAATAAGTAATATTGTTATAATACATTATTGAAGGTGGACTGTTTTGTTGACATTGACAATAAATTCGCGTTAACGAAATAGTCTATAAAGTCTATAGATTGCGATATTAGCGACCTTTGATTTTGGCTTGCCTCGGAAGTTGATGTAGTTTCTACTTTCAAGGTCACTTTTCGACCTTCGTGTTTTGAAGGGGCGAAAAGTAGAAATTATAGGCTTCCATAAAATTGTAAGACAAAATAAACATTTTACCATTGGTTCACGAATACCTTTAAGTGCCATTTATAACAAGGGACGAGGCTAGATATATTCCACATGTAATTCAAAGGTTTACGTCATATTCCTATCTGGAGAGCATGCGCAATAAATAATAAATCAGTTTATGTACATTCATATTACATTATTATTTGTGTTGCGAACCATTTGTGTCAATTTCTAGGTCCTAAATATTAGCGATTTAGCTCCTTTAAATAACAAATACATGTAGATTGTTTTGGGGTGACCTTTTCCCTGTATGTATATAATCAGTAAATGTTCATATTTTTGCACCAAAATAGATAATATTGGATCAAATTTTCTTTTACTGATAATTGATAAGTTCGTAAATAGTATTGTACGATGGATCAATAGGCCATTAATATTTCGATATTGACCCCTTTCTATAGAAATCAATATATAATTGGCAAGAGTTATACAATCGTAATGTGCTCAACAACCCTTGTTTTACTTATGAATATTAATCTCCACAAGAAAAAGTTCCAAAATCATTTAATTGGTTAGCATCAAATTGGTCAATATCAAAGTATATGAGTAAAATAATGTAATATAATTTATACCCTGGCTTAGACAAGCTGCTGTAGATATTACATCAAATTAATAAGCTTATTATTACATTATGTAATATTCGAATCAATTTTTTTTTATTATATTAAATTGTTATTAAATTTATTTATTTCTGTGTTTAATTTGATTAGTTTTTCTTATTCTCTTATTCAAATCTCATAGAATCTGATTCCAAACCCATCTAGCTTTAGTTTTACATTCTAAATATAGAGCAGTGTAATATGACACTTATACAATACACCATCTGAATAGATACTTATTGGGCTACAATTTATTGTCTTTGAAAGGTTGATGACAGGATTCTCTTCAACGAATCTTTGAGGTCACATTCCCAAACTTGAAAAAAACTGGCTGATTTCTAGTTGGTCTTAAGACTGTATATACTCGCTTGGCCGCTTCTATTACTGAACGAGATGAGTTAATTAGCTCTCAATATTAACTTTACTTCTATGACATTCTTAAACAATTTTTTATAACAAAATACATCAATGCGCTGGAAGTATATCTGGATAATAGATATATTTCCTGCTTAGTGTAGATGGGTACATACAACGATACACTAGTACGCGTAGGCGTAAAATGAGTAAATAGCGCCAATTCTGCTGCTTAGATCTATTTGATAAACACAACTTCAAGTTTGGACAAAGGTCACAACATGTAAACAGGGTTACCGGTAACCCCAACCCTAACCCTGAACTTAGCCCCAATGTTTACCATAACCCCTCGCCAACAATCACGAGCCCAATAGTTACATCTCAGCGACCTTGACGAAAATCGAGCTGACCTTAATAGATTTGACCCAATTTCTCCCCGGACCAGTTTGTGTAGTCATCTTCTACAGAGTTAAAAGAAACCTTTCGCATTAGTGGTTTGAAATAGATTGACAACTGCAGTGTTTTTATCCCAGTATTGTGGCCGGGTTATGGATCGTATATAATAGTACAGTTTTATGGTGGGCTGTTCCGTTATGCTTGGTTGTAATTTGGATTAGTATTGTCAAGAAAGAAAAACGAAATGTTGCAAGATATAACGACGTACATAGCAGACCCGTTATACAGAACACAAATAAGTTTGGTAACATTTGTGCTGGCATTGATTTGTGCCAAGATTATATTGGATTTAGTTAGAAAGGACAACTTCCCTCCTGGACCAAATGGCTTGCCTGTTTTAGGTTATCTACCCTTTTTCGGTACTCACCCGCATCTCACCTTTAATAAACTAAGAGGAAAATATGGCGACATCTTTAGTATCAAAATGGGCAGTTTCCCAGCCGTTGTAATCAATGGCAAGACGTTAATTAAAGAGGCTTTGGTTACTAGAGGAGATGATTTTTCAGGCAGGCCAAATTTCTACTTCGCCTCTCTATTTGGAGAACATACGCTAAGTTTTGGACGTTTTTCAGAGAGTAGTATACGGCACAAGAAGATAGCATACCACTGCTTGTATGTCTTTGCAAATTCCCGAAAAAATCCCACCGAAGACATGATTTACGAGGAAGCAAAGATAACAGTTTCAGAATTTAACAATATGAACGGGAAACCCTTTTGCCCAACGGAATTTCTCTATGTTAGTGTTGGAAGTATAATTTTTCAAATCTGTTTTGGAAAGCATACAAATATTCGAGAAGAAGATGAAACTTTTAAAACATTTCTCGTAGGTAACCGTGAATTTATACAATTTGCTGCATCTGGAAATCCTGTTGATGTTATGCCATGGTTGAGATACGTTATGCCATGGAAAATCTCAACTATGATCAAACTTGACGAACAAGTTAGGGAAATCAGAATTCAGAAAGTTGAAGAAAGTTTGAAGACCTACACACCGTCTAACCCGAGGCATCTCGCAGATGGCTTGACTGCTGCCGTTAAAGAAGCCGAAGCTGACCCCTCATCCGATTTTACAGCTGAAAGGATTTACTCGACTTTGGATGACCTCATGGGTGCTGGATTCGAAACAGTATCGAATACTTTGAATTGGGCCCTGCTATTGCTAACAGCGCACCAAGAAGTTCAACGAATGGTCCATGAGGAAATTGACGATGTTTTAGGACAACGACAACCAAAGTTGGAAGATAAAGCGGAAATGCACTACTGCATGGCAACTATTAACGAAATCCTGCGATTTTCAAATATAGCACCACTTGCCCTGCCCCATGCAGCTACCAAGGATACTGAGCTGAACGGTTATATTATTCCAAAAGATACTGTTATCCTCCCAAACATGTACTCAATCAGCCACGATGAAAAGCTGTGGGGTGATCCTTTTAATTTTAGACCAGAACGATTCCTTGATGCTGAAGGAAAGCTGGATAATAACACCACAGACAAATTCACGGCGTTTTCAATGGGTAGACGTAAATGTGTTGGCGAGTTTTTGGCACGCATGGAACTGTTTCTATTCTTCACAGGAATATTTCAGAATTGTGCTTTTAACAAGCCAGCTCATATCAAGGACTATTCATTTGATAGCGTTGTCGGCCTCGTTCTCTCCCCAGTTCCATATGAAATTTGTGCTTCAATGAGAGAATAGATCCAGTTTCAAACAAACTATGTCATATCCTTAAAATATGGAGAATCATCATTTTGATAAAATATTAATGTTATAAATTCAGGAATTTCTAGTAATATTGTTGTCTTGTTTGCAGTCAATATTAGCATGAATTTAGTAGTTTTAATTTTGTACTTTTGTTTTTTACTACAAAACATATGATTTTGTAAATCGTGGATCGCAATTGTCGTTTGTGATTGGGGAAAGTGCAGCGGGTAAGTAGTTGGCCTTGCCTTGGACGCAAAACTGGCGACAATATGTGTATATAATATTTACGGTAATTCCCCTTTGCACAGATTGAAATGTGTGAAACGATCTTGTACAGAGTGCATGCTAAGTTAGCATCTTGAAAAGTTTCTTCTATCACCGCGAAGTGACATGCTCTTGGTTTGCACATAAATTGCACATGTACTTCGTATTTGATGACGTTTTCATTTGTAAGCCTTGTATTCTACCGTTTGGCTTCTACACAACTGTAGTGGCTATGCTAACTTTGGTTTCTTTAGAAACATTTGGGGGATAGTAATTACGCTTTGGGTCTTCTTCTTCTATTAGTGTTTAGTTTACTATGCTCAGCGAACGCGTAGGGGTCTTTCCTGCGCGAGGAAAACGGACTACCTGGAGTAAACGTACGAAGTTGGGAGAGAGCCCCTATCTCCAAGCCACATACACTCACACCAGGGATCGAAACCACAACCGCAAGCCAGAGGTGGACGGTCAGCTAGAGTTCCAAGGGCGACATTCTAGACCCCCCCCCCACCCATGTAGGCTACCCCCACTACACTTTGGGTAGAGGTTTCTGGTATATATATGTTTACTTTTGATAAACAGCAGGGATGCCCAGAAACTGTTTGGCACCATGTATAATTTATATTGCAAATGCCACGGGAGCCCTTGCATCATCAGAGAAAAGGAGGTATATTATGGTCGTTGTGCGTCAAACTCACACAAATGAAATTAGTGTGTCATTGTGGAAGATAAATATGATCATTAAATTATAAAATTAGAAATTATAATATGCTTTATATCAAAGTGCCGAAATGTTTATGTTCCCATTCTTAAACTCTACCGTGATATGGGGTGGGGGGGGGCGAATGGTTGTAACATGAGATTGTAAGGGGATATCAGTTTTGAAAAAGGGAGCCACGGTAGCTCAGTGAATAGGACGTTGGCTTCACTAACCATGGAGCAGGTTTCGGGATATTGCAGTGTGGTTCTCCTTCTCAGTGTTGCAAGGCAGAGAGCCTAGCACTGGACGACGTATAGCCGTTCGGATGGTACGAAATGTCGAGTTCCCGTGTACCCATTGGCATGCACGTAAAACAACCCTCGGTAGTTGGAATTCGTTATAAGCGTACGCCGTGGTACCGCTGCCCGGGCACGATTTCCCTCATAACACACTATATGGTGTATGCTCGTCTTCTTTAGCCCAGTAGGACGTTAAACCAGCCAAAATCTTTAGCTTGCTTAGAAACACAATTCCGCTACAAGGTCCTCCTTTCTAAACAAACTAATTGCCGGAAAATTTTCTTTGTCACCTGAATTTTCTGAATGAATCAATCATTAACTAAAACATATTTTCCACAAAGCTGTGATGGTTGTTTATTTTTAACTAATTACACAATTATACAATTATATCTCCATGATATGTGGTCGCATTCTCCATTATCTGATGTTTGTGTCCGAAAAAATGAAATACATTGCTCGAAAAATGGACGGTTCACCGAATCTGGGAGGGTGGGGGTGGAGCATATAAGTTCTTCCAAAACAGTATTTTTACTAATATTTATATCTGTAAACTTTTAGTTCAGATTACATTTCAGGCTAAATTCCTAACAAATATTTGAATTGAAACAAAGCATCTATAAATCAGCTACTTATTTATTTGGGCGACATTTCGAATAGTATTGTCTCAACGTTATCAAGACCCCGGACCTCCTGATTAGTTATCAGTAATTAGTGATATTTTCCATAAAGGGAGATAACTCCGCATGTTCCCTTGTCCATGAGGTTTTCTGCATTTTGCTTTTAATCAAAACCTAACCAATAGCATAGTGTTTGCATAGGATGAAGGCATCGGATGTTTTCGCCAATATTTAATTTTATGTCAACTTCACAATTGTTAGTATAGATAAAGCATTTACTTGACAGTTATCACAATTTTCATCTGGCCCTAAATCGAGTTATTGCAAACACTTTGCTTGGAACTCTCCGGATCGGTGTTCCTGGTGTTCCACAAATGTATAGTTTGTTTAGTAGGGAGGACCTTGTAGCGGAACTTCGCGCTAGAAATTTTGGCTGCAGGCTGCCACACTTGGATTAATACACATCTGATAACGCCACTGGTTTCAAGACTTACCATTGGAAGCTCTACCCAATTAAAAAAATCAATTCATTTATTTAATCATCTATACCGACTAAAAATCTGGCGCTACATCCACGCGTGGCGACAATATTTAGACCACGAACAAATATACTTTTCCCAAATATACATGGGTATTTCGATAACTGCGCTAGTATTTCAACAGAAACGATTGTCCCCTTTTCGGCAACAGGACACACTTTTCTTCGGAATTTGACACTGCTACATCTCCCAGTCTTTAGTTCTCCTAAAAGAAAATTAAATGACCATAAAATTAAATAGACAAACCAAGTTAACTTTGTTCTATGAACTGTCTGGGTTTTCGGGAATCAAAGTACTAGCATATAGTCCCCCATCAAGAGAGAAGGTGTGTGGGGTGGGGTGGGGTATATGATATTTTTATGTGATATCTTATTACCAGAACCAAACCCCCTATTTTGTGAAAGCTATTATGTTCGTGTTTTGAGCCATGTATGATCGTCTAGACGAAGCTCAAGTCGGACTATAGTGAGAATTCGGATATTCTATATGGCGGTATAATAGATTCAAAATTCAAAAATGCTTTCGTCTAACTTCTAACTTCTGTTAATGTATTTTTTAACTTCTATTCATGTAATTACTAACTTCTATTCATGTAACTTTTAAATTAAGACAATGTATAATCCAACTTCTTTATTTGTTCAGTGTAAATTTTAATTCTATTTCATCTTATTTCTATTACTTAGACGAAAAACGTCTTCTTCATTGATGCTTTAAACGTTTAGCATCAACAGAGAGAGAGACGGGCTTGATAAAGACGAGTGTATCCTCGTCGAAACGTCGCTTAGTATTAAACTCAATAATTGTGTATCCATAAAATTGTACCCTGTGTTAATATAGACCGTACAGTATATATAAATATTAATTGGCTCAAGTGTAAAAAAAAAAAAAAATCAAATAAAATTCTCCAAATCCTGCACTTGCTTTAAATAAAAATTAGCAAATGCTGATTAGCTTATATTTGAAATAGTATTTGTATAAACCATATCACGTTCGATGTTGTTTGGGGGGTTGGATGGCCGAATGATTAGCACGTGCGCGCTGTATCATAAGGTCTGTTATCGAGTCAACTGGTGTGGTTTCGATTTCCCGGTTGTACGTGCCAAGGAGTATGTTCGCCTGTCCAACCTCATGGGTTTTCTCCGAGTCCTCCAGGTTCCTCCCACTGCTAAAGACCCTACGCGCAAGCGAATTATTGAAATAAAATTGAGCCATATGTTAGTCCCGAAATGACTTAGCTTGTGTCGCGTGGACGTTAAACCCCATTTCTCTCTCTCTCTCTCCCCTATCTCTCTCTCTCTCCCTCTCTCTCTCGATGTATGGGGATCACGTGGCTAAGTGGGTAAGACGCTGGCTCGCTAGCCTGGAGGTCGGGTGTTCGATCCCTGCATTGGCAGAGAAAGTTCATCCAGATTTTCCGGCGTGGTTCCCCCTTGTCAGTGATGCAGGACGGAAGGCCTGACAAGGACAGCTGTCTAGTCCTTCGGATGAGACGAAAAACCGAGGTCCCATGTATACATTGGAATGCACGTAAAAGATCCCTTGGCAGTTGGAATTCGATATAAGAGTAGGCGATAGTGCCGCTGCCCGGGCAAAATTTCCCTCATAGCACACTGTATGGCGTATGCCCGTCTTCATTAGCCCAACATAGGAGCAGAACAGTAGGACGTTAAACCCCATTTCATTTCTCTCGATGTATTCAATTTTAACACTCCGCCAAACCATTCAACCTGACGAAGAGCGAGTCGTTTGTATCAACAGAATGGTCCCGATCAGGTGCTCAATCGCCAAATTGAGCACACGGTGGCGACACCAAACGACGTCATAATGACGGTTGCTAGGTAGAAGTATCAAAATTCTAACATGTAAAGCGACAATAAAGTAGACATTTTTCGTCTTAAAAATAGAAATAAGATGAAACAGAATTAAAATTTACATTGAACAAATAAAGAAGTTGGATTATTCATTGTCTTAATTTAGAAATTACATGAATGGAAGTTAGAAATTACATGAATGGAAGTTAGAAATTACATGAATGGAAGTAAGAAATTAGACGATAGAATGTTAGAATTTTGAATCTAATATACCGCCATACATATTTACCCCAGATGATTTCATTTGAATTAATTTGGTTATAACTATATGTATACTCTCCGTGGAAGAAAGTTTACTTGTCCTTTTTCATCCACTATAGACAAAACGTACTAGAGTAATGACACTCCAGTGAGATGTCGCGGGTTCGATCCCGTGGTGGGGCGAGAAAGTTCACCGTGATTTTCCGGCGTGTTTTCCCCTTGTCAGTGGTGCAGGGCGGAGGGCCTACAGTGACATCTGTCTAGTCGTTGGGATGGGACTAAAAACCTATGTCCGATTTGCACGTAAAATATCCCTTGGCAGTTGGAATTTTATATAAGAGTAGGCCGTAGCGCCACTATCCAAGCCAAATTTTCCTCATAGCACACTTTGTGGTGTAAGCCCGTCTTCATTAGCGCAGTCGGGTCAGAACAGTAGGACGTTAAACCCCATTTCATTTCATTTCATGACACTCCGGCAACTACTGGATCTCATCTTATGCAGAGTTAATGTGATAGTACATTTTTTAGCTCAGGGGATTTTATCTGCCGTAACGTCTGACACTAATCCCGGATTTAAGATAAATGTACATCATAAAACTAGGTTGTCATTTTTTCTCTTTGAAAATGACAAATGAACACATTTGAAATACATGTAGTATGTAAATTGTCTTTCGTGTTTTTATTTATTTTTTTTTAAAATAGATGCGTCAAAATGCGTAATGATATACCTTGAGCTGTCCCATGGAAAATGTCGGTGTTTTTCATTTCGTCTGACTCTTAACTCCTCTGACTTTTCCCTTATTGAGAGAGATGGATGGAGAGAGAGAGGGAGGGGGGGGGGGTATATTGTGTCGAGATACAAATTTTGTGATTAGATTTCTAAGCAACAAATTACTACAGTAGTGGCTGGTGATATGATGCACCCACATTAAAGGGCATGCGACTCTGTTCTTCGCAACCTTAGAATAATTCTGAAGCACATATTAGTGCTTGAATGTATATAAATTGGCTTCCATTAAATATTTTATTGTAATTTCGTATCAATTTTTTTTAGGTGAAATACGTAAACAGTCCAAAATGAACGACAACGGTTTATGTCTGCTTAGCCCATTGTACATTTTTTTTCTGTTTTTTTTTTTGTTATTATTTTGTCGTTTGTGAATCAGTCATTACTAATTACTGCATTGTCATGAAGGGTATGTTGTAGAATTTTTGTTTTGTTCATTACATATTTACAAATGCCGCCCGAAAAATAGAAATACAAGACTCGTGTACCAATTTCAAGTATGTTAGGATTTCATATTTTCGTGGTAAGATAACGTCAATATTGATTGAAATGGAACAATACTGAATTTTAATTCGTGGTTTAATTTCGAAGTTTAATACTGAGTTAGAGGTTTTGCTTATTAACCCACAAACAAGTCTAAACGATATGACAATGTCGCAAATTATATAATATACACGGAATAATATCCATTAATTACGCATTGTCCTACAATAAAATAACAACGAAATTATCGAATTAGTAGTGTAAGCGGGGGTGGGGGTGTAAATTCACAATAAAAACTAAGGTGTTTAGTTTTTAAACCTTTATTAAAACCCTGAAAATATATACTTCAAAATTAATATACGTATATCACAGTGGAGTAATACAAAATGAAATAATAGTAAGGCATGCATACTTAATGATGAAATATATCAATAATTTACACACTAAAATACATCACTAATTAAATACATTATAAGCAGTTGACGGAAGCGATGTAATACTGCGTACGAAAATTTACACACTAAAATACATCACTAATTAAATACATTATTAACAGTCGACGGATGCGATGTAATACTGCGTACGACAATTTACACACTAAAATACATCACTAATTAAATACATTATTAACAGTCGACGGATGCGATGTAATACTGCGTCCGACAGAGAGATCTTATAGTTTGATAAAACAAGAAAAAAAAGGCAAGAACAACAATAAAATATTTTATTCAACTGTCATCTATTTCACACGAACGTTACGAACACTTGTCAATCAAGTTCTCATAAATCCTTAATGAGAGTTTTACAATTGATGTGTATTATATTCACAGCTAATTGCGGGCTATATTTCTTTATTTTACGTAAATAGGTAAAAATATAGTAGTATTTTTTATGATGATGAATGGAAGACGACATTATGTGACATAAACATGAAATAATGTAACTAAAAATATTTTTAAAAGAATGACAGAAAGGCATGCGTGAATTAATATCCGTGAAACTTACCTAAATTACAGAGCACGCCCTTATAAGCCATTTATACATCAAAGGTTTCTTTGACATAATTTATGGCGGTTAAATACAAAAACATAATATGGAACACAATTACTATTTTAATTAAAGCGCCGTTTCGTTGAGGGTTGTCACAACGTTTTCTGGCAAATGAAAACGTTGAGAGAACCCTCAACGAAACGTTGCTTTAATTAAAATAGTAATTGTGTTCCATATTATGTTTTTGTGTTTATTGCGTATGTTAATTGCTAAATGCCACTCACAGAAGATTATAGCGGTTAATTTAGAAATAGGGCCATATGGAGATTAAACTATGAGACACGAGTATTGGTTGTTTTTTTTTTGTTTTGTTTTTTTTCGTAGATGTGGCCCCAGAGAAAATATGGAGTGATCAAATTGGGATATTGAAATGACTATGAGTTGAGGCCCCCTCGCTGGTTTAACAAATTTAGATTTGAGTAGTACTTACGCTGTTGGCCATTTGCTTAAAATAATTGTTGTTCTAAACCTAACTGTGAAAGACATGTACAAAGTAGATGGTTTACATTTATTTTTCTACATAGCCCCCTTCGAGGTGTACCACTTTTGCCAATGATGTTACAAGGCCTGGATGTCGGTCAGGAGGAAATTGTCTTCAGCCACCCTAAAAAAGTCATTCACAGCTAATATGACATCATCATTACTCGGAAAATGGCGATCGACTAGTTTCTGTTTCTTTTCCATTTTTGCAAACAGGGTCTCATCCACCAGAGTCTGCTTCAAAACGGATTGTCACGGGACGTCAGGAATCTGACACGTTTCTGATCCACAATCAAGAACTTTAACACCCATTTTGCAAAAAAAATTGTTTTTCCTAACTCGTTGGCGATAATGTGCTCAACCCTCTCATAAGAGATGCTCAGAACATGCATGTCATCGTCAAGACTCTCTCTGTCACACTTAGATTCTGCAGTCCATCTCTTTACTGAAGAAAAGGAAGGGACATCATAATCAAAGGTGGAGACAATGTCGGTATGTATTTGTTTTGGGATTAGTCCATTCAGTTGCAGGTATTTGATGACCACCCTATAGCCAGTTCTGTCCATTTCTGGTGTTTTCAATGGGTTGGTTCACAAGATGGTCTGGTACGAAGACAATAACATTACAGTTGCAGTTCTTATGTCTATGACAATTGATCTATCCTTTTCTAGCTTAGAACTTTTCAATCAGCCGTCGTAGGAGCACAGATTTGAGGAAAGGGTCTAAAAAAATTTTTAATTTTTTAAATTATATTTGAATCATCTATATATTGTCTTCTAACTATGAAGGTAGAATCCCAATAATCATTCATAGTTTCAGGTCTTGTAGGTCCCATGGCGTCGGGAAAATTGTTTTCAATTTTATATGTGCTGGAAAGCTCCCGCTATAGCTCTATTAATTGGCCCATTAACAGTAACACATCTACATAAATAAAAGGAAGGCAAGGGCTTAGCACAGCCTTCGAAGCGGTACTCGATGCCCGAAAACTGTGGCACAATACAGAAAGGCTTCAGACCAAACTGGGCACTTTATTTTGCCGACT